AATCATTTTCCACATAAATATCCACAAGGACTACGTTCGCTAAGTCGCCTGAGTGAAGAGCAACGAGAAGTGACAAAGATACTGAAAAAGAGCCATGTGAAGCCGAAGGAAATTTTGCATCATCTGAGACAGATGAATCCGGATACGGCTGCGGCCTTGAGAGATGTGTACAATGAATCACAGAAAATTAGACGAGAGAAAATGAAAGGAAAAACAGTTATACAACATCTCTGGCACGAACTAAGTGAGAGTGGATACAGCAAATGGCATCGAACAAATCCAGCTGGTGATGCAGTGCAAGACGTTATGTTTGCGCACCCTACTTCAATAAAGCTTTTGCAGTTATTTCCATACGTCATCCTAATGGATTGCACGTACAAGACTAACAGGTAATAATTATTTAAATGTGAATTACATTTATAATATTATATATATATATATATATATATATATATATATATATATATATATATATATATATATATATATATATATATAAATATAAGAGTTGACTAAATTATTACCTTCATGTAGATATGAAATGCCTCTTTTGGAGATCATTGGGGTTACTCCCGTGGGAAGGAACTTCACTATTGCCGTTGCTTTTATGTCACGTGAAGATGAGGACACTTATGCATGGACATTGCGATGTTTGCGAGACATATTACCAATCGGGATAGAACCAGAAGTGATACTGACAGATCGTGATTTGGGCCTACTGAAAGCATTGTCAAAAGTGTTTCCACATTCGCATCACATGTTATGTTTATATCACATAAACAGAAACGTTGAGGCAAACGCGTCAAAATTCTTGGGTAACACCAAGTTGGGTGTACTGTTCTGGAGGACGGTGTGGGCAAAGTTAATCGAATCTGGGACTGAGGAAGAATACGAATGCAACTATAGAGAGATAGTTAGTTTGTACGGGCAATATCCGAAGTTGATAACTTACATCAATGAAACGTGGTTAATTTATAAGGAGATATTTGTTAAGTGTAGGACCAACAACATCGTTCATTTCGGTAACACGACGACTAACATGTATATAAATTGATTTTACTATAAACTCGTTACGTACAATCTTTTATAGACATGTTAAGTGTTAAGTGTTTTCTCAAAACAGGGTAGAGAGTGCACATCGTGCAACGAAGCGTTGGATCCAAACATCGACTGGAGCTATGGATACAGTTCAAAATGCACTAGATGCGCAAGTTGACCTTCAAATTAATGAATTGAAGGTGAAAAACGAGAGCAGTAGAACAGTCAGGATGAACAGTACTTCACTGCCGTGCTTCGGTGCTTTGGTGTGTAACGTATCACACAAAGCACTGGACCTGTTGGATAAAGAGTACGAAAAGTTGGAAAAGAAGCCGGATAGTTGCAACTGTTACCTAAGCCGAAGCCACGGACTCCCGTGTGCGTGTATGATTGCAGTTAAAATTGCTGAGGGAGATACTTTTTATCCGCAACAGTTACATCCATTCTGGAGAACGTTGGTTGTCGACCTGAAGTCGAATACCTGGGAGGACGAGGAGGAACCGTTTGATCGACAGTTGCAATTAAGAAAGTTCTTCTCGATGAGTTCGAGAAGTTATCAAACAAAGATTACATATCCCTAAAAAATGCGGCCGACTATTTACGGGACCTAAATAATCCTTCTTCAACGCATTTAGAAGAGCCGTCATTTGTGAAGGCCAAGGGACGACCTAAGAATAACTCGATGAAAAGGAACTTGTCCGGATATGAGCACATGATGGATCGGAAATCCGAAGTTAAATCTTCTTCGGGCTCTAAGGGTCGCAAAACCCCGACCGAAGGGACGCCACAGTCAAAATTTAAAGTTGGTACGCCAGAGTCAAAGGTTAAAGGTCGTCCTCGCGGACGTACTAAATTGACGGAAGAATCAGTTGTTACTGCCGGGTACCAGGTCAATTTCTTTTCCTTTCTTCCTCCGTTTCTCGCACAGTCCGTAGCCTCATATGTTAATGTGAGTGAGGGCGGATGGAAATTGTGGCTACCGGTGTATTGCCGAAGTTGTTTACGGCAGTCAGGAGAGATGGCCACAAGTCCGAACTGACTTGGTTGAGGAGTTTATGGAGCGTTACAATCTATATGCTACTATTTACGGTGGGGATGACGGGGGTCGCAATACAGTCGCTGATTATATCTTGAAATGCAGTCATGAGAGCGGACCGGCGCCAGGACGAAATGGATGTCAACAGATATGGGGTTGGCGATCGCTACAAGATACAACGCAATGGTATTAATATTCACTGAACGGGGTAGCATCACTTATCTACCACTAGTTGGGAACCCCGCGTTATTACGTATTATTCCTATGTCGCTACATAACGATCATTTTATGATCATACGAGTACCGGTTTCATGCCCTCTTCCTCGTCTCCATCCTCAGTGGAGGTATTTTGCAGCTCCCAATTTACTACCTCTACGAGATTTTTACGCGGATCGACTTGCTTTTTGGACGACGTTGACTTCTAGGCATAGGTAGTACTGTATTATTGTAATTTTTTTGAACAATTACTTGATTTTGTAAATTAATAATTGTTGAACTATTTGTTGAGTTTGTAAAACTAATTATTATTAGTCAAATTTCACATGGGAAAATCGAAAAAAAAAATTAAAAAAAATAAAAAAATTAATATGTTTGTGCGTTTTCACACGCACAGAGGCGTTTTGCACGTGTGATTTCACACGTGCAAAACACCTCTGTGCGTGTGAAAACGCACGAACAGGTTTAAAAAAAAAATAAAAAAAAATTAAAAAAAAAAATTTAAAAACAAAAATTAAAAAAAAAGAAAAAAATGACGTGGAAAAGTACTCGTGTGTTAACACACGAACAGAGACATTCTACTCGTGTATTTACAAACGAGATGAACACCTCTGTTCGTGTGAAAACGCACGAGCAACACACTATTTTTTTTTTTTTTTAATCTTTTTTTGATTGTTTTTTTTTTATTCTTTTATTCGTTAATAATACAAATTAAAATATAATTTCGTTCGATACAACATAATTATAATCCGTACAAATAACTAAATAAGTAAGTCCGATAACAACGTAATTAAAATACGGGCAAATAAGAAAAATCCGCAAATCCAAAATGAAACATCCGTACAAAAAACTAAATCCGAAAACAAACAACAAATCACAACACACGAATACCAATAGTCAGGTGCAAAAAATCCGAAACTAATACACAAGTCCATGCAAATAGGTAACATGTCCTACTGTCCACTCCTCGACCCCCGACCCCGAGTCCTCGGACCTCCCCCCGTGACCCCTCCTAGGTAAGAGACGCAAATAGTGGGCATGTGGCGTCAACAAGTCCCTCAACTGCGGCTGAATGCTCAGGAATGCCTCTGCTGCGTCGTCACCAGTCAAACCGAACACGATCGGAACTAGGAGCCGAGCTATGTCGTTGGCGAACGGCTGGTCTGGCGGCACCGCAGCAACAACCCGTTCTGTAGGTGGAACTCTATCAGGGTTGCTAATGAACCGGTGCGTCCGCTCGATGTACCACTTCATGTACTCCTCGGCAACTTTTTCCGGCGGCCAGGCTTCAGGGTATTGCGACAGGTCAATGAAGTTGGCGTACTCGTTCTGCCACAAGCCGCCAGAAGCGTGGAAAGTGACTTTGTATCCCGCGCCAAACAAGCCGCGGTTATGTGGCAAGTTCGATTCAATTATCGGGAAAGGAATACTCTAGACTCTTCCAAACTGCCGCAACGCTCGGTCGGGCATGTACGGCTCCACTATATCCATGAACTGTATCGTGCCGTAATACATGCTCCGAGGATGCAAGTAATGTGCACCGGTACCATACGGGGTCCAACAAACCTAAGCATATTTCAAACTAATTAGAAAAATCCGTAACTCTACTATAGACATAATTAGAAAAAATATTACTCACATCTCTTTCGGTCATGGCGTCGAATATTTTCCGGTATTCCTGCAGCGTGGTTTTATTGCCTCCACCATGGGCCCACCTTCTGCATCGAGGCTCAAACTCGGCATATGAACGGGAAAGAGGTGGTCGAAAGCAGGGGAAATACTCAAAGATCCAGCACTGCAAACAAAAACCAATGAAACGTTGTTGATATTACCTACATAGAAGATTAAATAAATAAATAATTACTAATAAAGGTACACGTACCAGAAGGAGAATAACACATCCACAGAGACTGTTCATCCCAGCGCGGGTGGCAATACCCAATTGGCGGTACATGTTTGCTAAGCATGCCGAAGCCCACGAATACTTACCGACATTATCGAGATCGTTGGTAAAATGGATCCACAACGGCTTCATGATACACGCTGTTTTGTCTACAAACAAAACAGACCCAAGCAGAAACATCAAGTAGCCCTTCATCTTCTTCTCGTCTGTGGCGGAGGGAAGGGTCAACTGATCTCTCACCTTAACCCAACCAACTCCCTTGTTTCGAAACATCTCATTGGTGTCCATCAGACCGACACCCAATACAGATGCAAAACTCTGTGAGCACTCTTCTACCGGGCGAATTTCAGACACTGCTGGTCCGTCAAGCCGCAACGCCAGGATGAAAGCGACATCGTGGAGCGTGATCGTCATCTCGCCCCATGGCATGTGGAAACTGTTCGTCTCCGGCTGCCACCTCTCCACGAAAGCTAGCATGAGGTTCTTGTTCATCCTCTTCAGAAAACAGTCTCGTAAGTGGTAAAGACATGTTGCCTCCAACCTCGCAATCATCGTGTTATCCTGCGGGCCGCGGTAGTCCTCGAGTGTTCTGGTCCTCGACTCGCACCGTGTAGTTTCACGGCGCTCCTGAAAAATATTGCATGTATTGTTAGCTAAAAAAAATGAATAATATAAGAATTATGTAAAGCACGTGTTGACAGAAAACTTACATATCCTTCCCAAATGTACATCGCTATATGCGACTTGAACCATCGCATAAACTCGTAATTTTCTGGCCCTCCCTCGCACGGACCCTCCAAGTACGCCGGACCAGGCAGCTGCGGAAAGGGTAAGGCACGACCACCTCTACGATCCTGATATACATCTGCTGGCTCATCATCTTCCTCCATCTCCTCGTCAGTATCCATATTATCGGGATTGTTGTTGTGGTCATCATCGTCGTCGGCATGTGGCAATGTACTACGAGCTAGCTGGAGATCGCGTGTAGGTCCACAGGGTCCGGCTCCAGCTGCAACAGCTTCTCGTCTCAGTCTCTCTTCTTCCCGCTGTAACGCTGCTTCTCGAGCTAACTGTTTTCTTCTACGGGCGGAAGCAAGGACATCTCGGTCTCCAATGCGATCCGGATCTTCCGGATTGTCCCCCTTCCCGCTCAAGGCTTTCATTAAGCTCTTGCCTTTACCGGCAACTTGACTCATAAGACTTTTCCCCCGGCCTCCTGCCATCTACATTTTAAATAAGCACTTTATTAATATTTCATATAATAAAAAAAAAGCATTTAAATAATGAAATGAAAAAAAAATAATAATAATTTGCGTGTGCTCGCGCAAAAACATGCGAGCATTTCAACAGTGCTGCGTGTGAAATGAAGACCCATGACGTTGACTTCGCTTACGCTT